TTTGCAAATTTTGAATACATTGGCAAGGTTGGAAATTTTATTGGATAAAGAGGAATCACTTGCAAGTTCGGATACTAAAATAGTGAATTTGAATCAGGTCCGTGAAATTTCTTTTTTATGAATGAATTGGGCAGCTGTGATCTTTTGAAATATTATCATCGGATCAATTGAAAAGAGTAAAGGAAAAAAACTAAGTGCTTAATTAACTGATTGATTGATTGGTTGGTAATGTTGATGAGGAACACCAGTTTTTAATCATTATTATGGGAATTAGATTATCAGACTATATTAATAAGATTATATTAATTAAATTTTCAAGAATTCATTCCATTACAAAAAAAATTATTAATCATTAATTAATTAATTTTAAATTATTAGGTGCTCTAATAATATCTATATACTATCTTAACATTATTATTATTATTATTATTATTATTATTATTATTGTGATATCTAGCAACAATTCAATAAAAAAGAAATTGAAAATGCACTTTCTGTTCTAGAGACAATAATATTTCAACTCGAAGATGAAGCTGCACCGAAGAAAGATATTCAAGTAAGTTAGTTAAATATTATAACAAATAAAATGAACAAGTGCACATATATAAATAAGTTTATTAATTAATTTTATAAATAACATACTTGGATATCATTATAAGGCCTACTTGTCAGAATCAGGACTTGGTGGTTTATTTCCAAAGTCTGCAAAGAGATTAGCCCCCAATACTACACTATTTAATGATTCATCAAACAAAATGAATGCTACAGGTAAATTCATAATTTCATATATTTACATCTACATGCATTCACTAACCAATATTATATTAAATATAGCACATTTTCATGAAACAAATTTATACAATCAATTGGTTTCAATATCTTTACAACTCCAACAAGATATAAAACTTACAAATCATAAATATATGGCACATCAATTAGCATTACTTTATGTAAGCAAAATATTTCCTCAAAACAAATATATGCAAATTATTAAAAAATTAATATTATATCGAATATTCTAATAATTTTTAGCAATGTCTCAATCAAGCTGGTGGACCGTTTCTTAAATATAAATCTCGTGTAGAATTACATTTTGATGCTATAAAAGCATTATCAAATAGTTCAGAAGAACCTCAACTTGATGAAGAACAAAAAAAATGGTTTGTAAATTATTATTATTATT